CAGGAGACGAGGTCTCGCCAAGTTGCCCAGGCAGGTCTCGAACCCACAGGCTCAGGCAATCCACTCACCTCGGCCTCTCAAAGCCCTGGGATTACAGGCTGAGCCACCGAGCCCGGCAATAGTAGTTTTTAAAAAAATCTTTTATTACAGTGATGGCAAATAGGTGTACAAGTCCCCACATCAGTTGTGAAACAACAGGGCCATGCAAAGCAACTTTCCATGAATTGTTTTATTTTAGTTTTACATCTCAGCTAAAATGAACAAGAGAAACATAAAGAAGAGTGCTTCGGCTAATGAATTTTTCATTTAGGATGTATTGTAATGAATATGTAAATTCCTATGTCTGTTGGTTAGAAATGACAGGATATGATTAATTTACTAAAGATAAATATTTCGTTCATTAGAGTTATGCACTTGCTTTTTCTTTAGTTGTTCTCACTGCTGTGAGATAGGCCTGTATTTGACTTGTCCATGATGTTATATGGTCAGTGTTTGGCATGAGGCAATGTGCATGATAGGGCTCAGGGTGGGTACTTAGCACAATGAAACACGGGGGTTATCTATGTCATAACCCTACCGCCTTCACAGAGACCAGAATCTTATCTACATAATGTATTCCAGTTTATGAGACAACTATGCAACTATGTTCTATTATAAATTTGGTCAGGTTCTTTGCAGTTCTATGAATTCTGATGTATCCACCACACAGTAAAAACATAGACCAAGGCTATCTTCCCCAAATGTTCCTACATGCCCTGTCAACTCCTCTCCTCATCCCCAACTCCTGGCAATTATTTTTTTTGAGGGGGGGCGGGTTTCAAGTCTCACTCTCACCCAGACTGGAATGCCGTAGCATGTCCACAGCTCACTGCAGCCTGAATTTCTTGGGCTCAGACAATCCTTCCACTTCAGCCTCCCGAGTTGCTGGGATTATAGGCACACACCACCACATCTGACTAATTTTTCTATTTTTTTTTTTTTCTGCTGTGTTGCTGAGGCTGGTCTCAAATAATCCTCCCGTGTTGGCCCCCCAGTGTTGCAATTGTAGGCTTGAGCCACCGCACCTAGTCCCCTGGCAACTATTTGCCTGGTCTCTGTCCTATGGTTTTGGATTTCCCAGAATATCACGTACAAGGAATCACATGTAGTCACTCAAGGATGGCTTCTTTCGCTTAACATTGTCTTTGAGATTCATCCAAGTTGTTACAAGGTCTTTTCCTTGCTGAGCAGTATTCTACTGTATGAACTGAAACTGTCTATTCATCCACCAGTTGACGGACGTGTGGATTGTTTCTATGTTTTGATACTTAAAAAAGCTGCTGTAAACATTCATGTACAGGTTTTTGTGTGAACATACATTTCATATCTCTTGGATAAACATCCAGGGGCAGGATTGATGGGGGGGTATGTGTTTAACATAAAATACTGACTCTTCCAAATTGGCAGTGCTGTTTTGCATTTCTACCAGCAATGTGAGTGTTCCAGTTGCTCCACCCAGGCCAAGAATTGATGTTGTGATTTTCTGTTTTGTCACTCTAATAGGTGTATAATGGTATCTAATTGTACTCAATTTAAATAAATTACCTTTAACTTAAAAACTGAGGTGTATGTAATTTATATACAGTAAGATAAATAGATCTTAAATCTACTGTTCAATGAGTTTTGTCAAATGCATATACTTGTGGAACCAATAAAGATATAGAATGTTGCCATCACTCCCAGAAAGTTCCTCTTGCCCCTTTTCAGGTGCCATGTCATGTCCAGAGGCAACTTCTGTGGCTATTTTTTTTTTTTTTTTGAGTTGGAATCTCACTCTGTTGCCCAGGCTGGAGTGCAGTGGCATGCTCACAGCCACCCCAGCGTCGACCTGCTGGGCTCAGACAATCCTTCTGCCTCAGCCTTCTAAGTAGCTGAAACTACAGGCGCATGCTACCGTGCCTGGCTAATTTTTTATTTATTGTAGAGATGAGGTCTCGTCAAGTTGCCCGGCCTGGTCTTAAACCTGGCAATCCACTCATCTCGGCCTCCCAAAATGCTGGGATACAGGCTCAGCCACTGAACCCGGCCTCCTATTTCTATCACTTTAGACTAGTTTTATCTGTTCATTAACTTCCTATAAATGGAATAATACAATAATGAATCTGTTTAAGTTTGGCTTTTTTTCAGCATAACGTTCTTAAAATTCATTTCTGTCATTATGTGTATTAGCATTTAAGAGTAAAGCCCAGGATTTGAGTGGGCTTGCCTCCAGACTGCCTTCTGCATGCAGGAAATGCTGATGTTGCAAGATGGTTGCGGTTATGTACGAGAGAGCAAGGGTGCCCTTGTAGCTCTTAGGGCCATTTCGAGCTCAGCAGTTGTTTTTAAAAAAGAACTATAAATACACTATTGAGTCAAAAGTATTAGAGGCATGCTATGATGGTTACTTTTATAAGTGTCCCTGGGCTACGGGATGCCAGATGGCTGGCAAAACATTATTTGTGTCTGTGAGAGTGCTTCCAGAAGAGATTAGCATTTCAACTGGTAGACAGAGCCAAAAAAAAAAAACCCACCTTCACCAATGTTGGGCATTACTCAATCTGTTGAGGGCCTGAATAGAACAAAAAAGCAGAGCAAGGGCAGATTTGCTCTCTGCTTGAGCTGGGACATCCATCTTCTCCGACCCTCTAATATTGTCACTGGTTCTTGAGCCACTGAGCTGGGATTCAGAAGCCACTGGTTCTCCTGGTTCTTGGGGCCTTTGGGTCTGCGTGGGATCTATACCCCCGTCTCTCCCAAGCCCCTAACTGCCTCTGTGGTTGCTTGAGCCAACAGATTCATTCTCAATCTGTTTCTGCATGTCTACCCACATATCCTATTGGTTCTGTTTCTCTGGAGAACACTGAATAACACATATATCAAGAAACAGATAAAGAAAATGTCAAAAAATGGATATACTTTTTACTTAGGATATAACTAGTTAGCTCACAAAAATTCTCAGAAATGTTAAACAATAGTATGCGCCAAGTGCTGGCTCTGAGTGAAGTTGATTTTTTACATTTATTGATATTGGTTGAGGCTATTTTCCATTTTGGAATTTCCTAGGCACATAAAGAATATAAACACTTCTAGGATGGCCAAATCGAAGATAACTTTTAGTGAAGACAGCATGTAAAACTATAACAAACTTCTATGATTGAAGTATAGGAACAAAAGGAGAATAAAAGAATTTTAAGTGCCTTTATTTATTTTTAATATCAATAATTACATTTTCAAAATGATATAAATTACATTTAAAGGTATCAATACCACACATCTGTATCATACGGTAGGAAATATAAGAGTAAATAGCCTATGTACACTTTGCATTATTTACACAATTTAATATACACAACCACCCAAGAATCCCTAGAAAATGCATCTATCATCCACTGTCTAGAATATGGACAAGTTTTAAAAATAAAACAAAGTAAAAAGATGTCCATTTTTCGGCTGCATATGGTGGACATGTACATGTATCAAGATGAAGTCTGTGTTGATGTGGGAAGTTTCATGAAAAAAAGAAACATATTTAACTTTGTTCCATGCCAGCCATGAGTGACAATGCTAGAGATTCCACTGTGGGAAGAATAAAAATAAAGTTAAGAAAACAGATTTAAATGCTTTAAAATATTTGAATAAGACCTTAATAAAATTCAAAACTGAAAGTATTTAAAGACATGTTCTATTTTTAATTAAAATACTGATTATTTTTAATGTATCATAAAAATGATTATGTTCATTTATTAAATACAAAAAAATCAGTATTATTTATTTCTATTTCAAATAATTTCAATGTTGGGAACAATACAGGCATTTCACTGAACAAATCACACTTGTTCCACAAGTCATAAAATCTAGAGTTAGTTCAACACAATGTGCCATGTTCTAACCTATGAATGGAATCTATTTCATTAACACTCACCCAGTGCAAAAATGAACAAATGCATTAATGTTTCCTCAAACACAGTTCCATCAGTTACTCCTATGAAGGACACTGTAATTGGAACATGCAAGAATGGGGACGAGACAAACCCTGTCACTTCACCAAGCAGAAGCTGGGCAAAGAGGCGCCACTCAGCTCTGCTACATCAAAAAGATGACATGGCTCGCTCTCCCCGGCCCCTGGACCTTTCTGCCCACTGTGTTCTGAACTGTCAGAGACACGTTTCCTGCTGGTAAGAGGCAGTCTTGGGTGGTTTAAAATTGCTAAAAAAATTCTATCTTTTGAAAAGAAATAGTTACAAAAGCTACACGATAGGACAAGGCATGACAGAAATCGATTCTGCCACCTACTTAATTTAATAGTAGTTTTAGAAATCCACTGGTGTAACCAATGGCACATTACCAAGGAAAGTCTCTAGTCTTAGTGGTCTACATTTGGTTATTTACTTGCCTCACAGTAATTCTTTTTTTTTTTTAACTTCTCTTTTTCTCACAGTAATTCTTAAACAAAAATTCAAAGTATGGCACCACTGTTGAGAGACTCTTCAGTTTTGAAAACGGTGAGAAATTCAAATTCTTCATGTAATCAGTAACAAAACAATACACAGCTACAAGAAAATACAAAAGTAGTCATATTTTGATATAATATACTCACAATGGGGAAAGGATCCTCTACAGACGGCTTTGTTTAAAATAGTTACAAGAAACATATGGCAGTTTTTAAAATCAGACTCCATTTTCTCTATAGATTCCATTCTAGGAAAAAAAGTAAATTTCAATTTAAGTGCACAGGGAGTTAACAGGCTATAAGATATCTTTGGAATAATTTCAAATGTACTTTAATTTAGCTATTTAAAAAATTTTAATAAAACAACAACAGATGCTGGTGAGGTTGCAGAGAAAAAGGAACTACTGGTGGGAATGCAAACTAGCATAACCTCTTTGGAAGACAGTGTGGCAATTTGTGAAAGAACTAGAAATTGACCCTCTGTATGACCCAGCAATCCCCTACGGGGAAGATACTTGGAGAAACTCAAATCATTCTACAAAAATGATACCTGCACATGTATGTTTGCTGCAGCTCTATTCACAACAGTAAAAACCATGCTGTCCATTGAAGCTGGACTGGATAAAAAAAATGTGGTACATATACACAATGGAATATTATGCAGCCACAAAGAAGGACAAACATATGGACTTCGCAGCAACTTGGATGGATTTAGAGTCAATCATACTCAGTGATCGATCACAGAAACAAAGAACAGAGTACCACATGTTCTCACCCATAAGCAGACCCTGAACAATTATCATACTACTATAAGAAAGGGATTGGCAGTAGTGGGAACTGCCAGGGGAGGGAGGAGCACACCTCATCAACAAAGGATCTGCATAATGAACATTTGTATACATAACCCTGAATTGTACCCCATATCTTTAAAATAAAGAAAAAATAAATAAATAAAAAATTTCAAAATGTCTTATGAAAAGCTTCATTCGGATATAAAACTGTGCTGTTTTCAAATAGTACCTGGTTCTGGAGTAGGATGACTGGGGAATATTTCCTTTTCTTTTTACAGTTCTATATTTTTATTGTTTATAAGCATTTATTCTCTTTGAAATAAAGAGTACATCAAGGATATAAACTCTAAAGTTTGAAACTATTTTATAAAAGTAGCCCCCCCCTTTATTTTTATAAAAAGGAAAATACCAAACACAGTAAGAGAGAACTTCCCCAGCCTACCACCCAGTCTCGGCAGGCACACACCCAGGTGACAAGCTCCCCACAGCCCACCGTAGCATTCAGAAGCAAACTGGAGACATCAGAGTATTTGAGTCGTAAATGCTTCATACACATAAGTGTATGCTTGAAAGACAAAGACATTTTCAAATGTCATATTTGCTTGAAATTAACGACACTTTAATATGATCAAATAATCAGTGTCCAAGCACATCCCACACTGCTTCTACAGTTTTTCACTTCTCTGCTTTAACTTTGAATAACTCCAATAAACTGTGATAGCTGACACGGTTCTTAAGCCCTCCTCACCCCTCGCCTCTTCCTCATAGCTTATTTGTAGAAGAAATGGAAAGAGGTCAGTTTTAGCAAAGCAGATGCAGCAATGTTATTTGTTCTCCACCTCACAGTAACATGAAAGGTGAAATACGTTTCACCCACTTTGAGACAGTAATGATGAAGACTTTTGTTTCTATTCCTGCAATTATGGCTTTTATCTACTATCTTAGCTTCTTCATTCAAAACATAGTTAGAAGCTAAGATTGTGAATTACACTTGCATCATAATGAACTTTCAAGTCCTCACCAACATGGATTAAGTACAAGCTGTTACCATAAGTACCCCGTCAACTAAACATTCACTTTTTTTTTTTGAAGTCAGGGTCTCACTTAGTCACCCAGGCTGGAGTGCAATGATACCATCTTGGCTCACCGCTACCTCAACCTCCTGAGCTCAGGCAATTCTCCTGCCTTAGTCTTCCAAATACTTGGGACTACAGGTGCACGCCACCACGCCTGGTTAATTTTTTAACTTTTTGTAGAGATGAAGTCTCACTATGCTTCCTAGGCTAGTCTCAAACTTTTGGGCTCAAGCAATCCTCCTGCCTCAGGCTCCCAAAGTGCTGGGATTATAGGCATGTACCACTGTGCCTGGTCAAAACATTCAGTTTTATTTCAGGCAAGTAATAGCAAAATTATCACTGCATTAATTTTACCAACAAAATTGAAAAAATATTGAGATGCACATTCACATTGACAGTAGAGGCAGTACTGCAAGATAGGAAGAACTCCCAGGAACTGTCCTCTGACTTCAGAGCATTTGCCTTTCTATGTGAACTGTGCAAATAGACTCAAATAGACAATATCCTTTTTTTTCTGAGTTGGAGTCTCACTCTTTCGCCCAGACTGGAATGCAGTGGCATGCTCCTGGCCACTGCAGCCTCGACCTGCTGGGTTCCAGCAATCCTTCCACCTCAGTCTTCCAACTAGCTGGAACTACAGATGCGCGCTACCATGCCTGGCTAATTTTTTTTCATTTATTGTAGAGACGAAGTCTCGCCAAGTTGCCTGGGTGGGTCTCAAACCCATGGGCTCAGGCAATCCACTTGTCTCGGCTTCCCAAAGTGCTGGGATTATAGGCTGAGCCACCGAGCCCAGTCAACAATATCTTTTAGAGCTCATCCAAAATACAACTTTGGACTGTAACGAAGCATGATGTCCAAAATCTGCTTTGAGGTAAATGTGAGTGGGGAATGGTGGCAGACACGACACAGAACTAACTGGTCACTGCTGGCACTGCTAAGGCAGGGTAATGGGTGTGCGGGCTTGCTAAGTTATACCCTCCACTTCCATATGCTTGAAGGTGTCCATACTAAAAACTTCACAAATGTATACAATAGAACAGGATATAATCTGAGAATATTTGCTTGTCCAAATGAAAAGACTTTTTTTTAATGGTTTTATGACTTATAAAATAACTGCACAAATCATTTTTGTTGTTGTTGTTTTGAGACAGGGTCTCGCTATGTTGCCCAGGCTGGTCTTGATCTTCTGGGTTCAAGCAATCCTATTGCCTTGGCCTCCCAAGTAGCTGGGACTAGAGGTGCACACTGTGGCACTCTGCTTAGAACTGTACAATTCTTGATGTTGCTTAGTTCAGATGAGCAAATTTGATTCTTCTTAAATAGAGTGATACACGATATACTGTCCAGATGATAACAAGGCTCCATGAATGAAGTTAGTTAAAAGGGAAGCTAAAGTGGTTACAACAGGGATGCTTTACAAGCTACACACTTACCGCCAAGCCCCCAAGCCCGCCTGCCAACCATCTGCAAACATGAGGGCCAAGTTCAACACCTTCATGATAGCTTCTTTCACAAAGCTGACCTGGAGATCAAAGTCAGAACACAGACTCCATAACCAGGTTTGGACAATGATACCAACACTTCTGCCTAATTTAAATGAGTCACAGAAAAAGCTCATCAGTACAGTGGCTGCCTTCTCTGCATAGGGAAGATCTCCAGGTTCTGGACCAAGCCCACTTGGGTTGGGGCCCATATGTTACCATGCTCATGGTACATATGGGCATTAGCATTAGAGACCCAAGTTGGTCATTTAAATTCACCAATGAAACTGGGACAAGTAATTTTGCGGCTGTACTACTTAATTCCATATATTCACACTACGCTAGACACACTATTATTCCACAATTATAGATACAATTTTTCCAACTTAATCCAAGTGCAATACAGAGTGAGTGTCAACTACTGAAACACAGTTCTCATATTTCTTTTAAATATAGATATATGTCCTTTTTGATTTTTTTTTTTGAGTCAGGGTCTCACTTTGTCGCCTGGACTGGAGTACAGTGGTATGATCATGGTTCTCTGCAGCCTTGACCTCCTGGGCTCAGGTGATCCTTCTGCCTCAGTCTCCTGGGTAGCTGGGACTACAGGCACGTGCTACCATACCCAGCTAATTTTTTTGATTTTTTTTGTAGAGACGAAGTCTTGTTAAGTTGCTCAGGCTGGTTTTGAACTCCAGGGTTCAAGAGAGCCTCCCGCCTCAGCCTCTCAAAGTGCTGGGATTACAGATATGAGCCACTGCACCTGGCTTTAGATATAATTTCTAGGAACCTCATTCTAGTAAGCTCATTAGATCTGGCTATTGCTTAAAGAATGCTCTGCAGGACAGAAGCTGAATAATTATAAAATTCCAAAGATGACAGCCCCATAAACCAGCTTCCTTCTTGCCTCAGTGACCACATGTGCAGGAGACATCTCACGTACCTTTTCTCTCAGCAGACATCGATCATGGATGGTTGACAAATACCTATAGTGAATTTTAATTAACTGGTCCAAATCTTTGGCTTCCTCAACTTGATGTTGAAATTCCAGCCCTGTACTGTGTAGAATCTTTGAAGAGAAATAAGAAAAGCTTAATCAGCAGACTTTTTCTTTGAGGACTTATGTGCTGCACACACAACTTTTTAGCAATCTCTACTCTCAAATTCATTCAATATCATATCCGTAAAGTTTCATAAGGTACTATTCTTTAAAAAAAATTTTTTTTTGATAGAGATGGAGGTCTTGGTATGTTGCCTTGGCTGGTCTCGAACTCTTGACCTCAAGCGATCCTCCCATCTCACCCTCCCACAAGAGCTGGGTAACAGGTGTGAGCCACTGTGCCTAGCAAAGTAGCATTCTTTAAAGGCTGCCTGCATACCTTGACATTCTGAGCCTGAGAAGATGATGGGGGCAGTCCTGCAGGACCCATCTGCACAGTGAATGGATGCCAAACTTTAGACTAACTGACTTCCCAGTGAAGAGGGACAAGAATAATAAACTGTGTAGAAGATGCATCGATAAAACAAAATAATTATCGGTAAATGTGCTATAAATAAGCATTTTTATAATACAAATTATTACAATGGATTTATATGTTTTTAGAAATTCAAATTCTCATATATTGATTTTTCTCTAAAAGAAGCACAGAAGTACTTCACATAAAAAACAAACTAAGGGGCCGGGCTCAGTGGCTCAGCCTGTAATTCCAGCACTTTGGGAGGCCAAGGCAAGTGGATTGCTTGAGCCTGCGGGTTTGAAACCAGCCCAGGTACCTTGGCGAGACCTTGTCTCTATAATAATAATTTTTTAAAAAATTAGCCGGGCATGGTAGCGCGCACCTGTAGTTCCAGCTACTTGGAAGGTTGAGGTGGAAGGATCACCTGAGCCCAGCAGGTCAACACAGGTGGCCTTGAGTGTGTCCCAGCACTCCAGCCTGGGCGAGAGTGAGACTCCAACTCAAAACAAAAACCAAAACACTAGGGGAGTGTCCATAAAGACTCCCTGCATGAGCAGGTGTGTGCCGGTGGGTGAGTGAAAGTCCGTCTGAGAGGAGACTCGTGTTCATGCACCCAGGGCTTTCCTCTGGAGGTAACTGCAACTCCCTACCACCCTGAGATTGGAGCAGCCGGCACACAGGATTGTCTGCTGTTCTTGGGGGCTCTCCTGAGAAAAGCCTGCTGAATCCAGCTGATCTTCATCACCTGGAGCCTAGCACACACCATCACCTGTGACAGCAAAGTGGCTGGAGCCACCAGTCTCTGGAGAGAGCAGTCGAGGAGAGCTGGAGAGGAGCCCCCCACTGTGAGGAAAGGCCTGCCGGAACCATTTTCTCTGTTCCGGGACCAGACAGAGACCTACACTGCTAGCTGCTGCCTGGCTCCACCCAGCCTCCAGCCTGGGGCCTAGAGGTTATCTCATCAAACTCGGAGAGACGGACGCCCCTCCCCACACTGGAACAGGCACAGACATTTCAGATTTGAGTGGGAGTTTTGACAAAAGCAGCAGCAAGCCAGGTGAGTCCAGATTGATCTGCCCTCCTCCCACAATAGTCCATGGGGCAGCCGATCCATGCTGAGAGCAATCCTATCAGCCTCCACTGAGAGCAGAGGGGAAGGGAAAGACCAGAGCTGAAAGGAAATTGAAGTTACTGCCTCAGAGCAAGTTTTTGTTTTTTCTTTTTCTCATCTCTTTCTGGTTTTGATTATGTTTTCATACTTGTTTCTGCTATTTTATTTTTTTAGACTTTCTGTTTCTGTAGGTATTTTTGATGGAGAGTATATCAATAGGGGAGTTTTTGTTGGTTTGTGTGTTTGTACGATTGTCTGTATGTTTTTGCTTTTTTAATCTTTTCTGTCTTTGTTTGAGTCTCTTTTCACTGGTTAGTTTGTACATGCCTTCTGTTTTCCCTCTTCTTCTCTCTCTCCACCTTCCTCTCATCCCCCTCCTTCCTTTTCCCATTCCTTTTTCTTACCTCGTTTTCAGGGGGCAAACCTATGCCCACACTGCACAGACAGATTGTAAGGCAGTGGGAAGTGGGCGCCAGGGGGCTCACACACCTGTCAGTAGATACTGGAATCTGCATAGAGTTTCTGAATCACAGCTCTTCCCCCAATTAAATCTGAAAACTGCAAAAAGCACAGTCCCGCTTCAGAATTGAACAAAGCCAGAGGATCCACATAAGGAAGAATAGGAGATTGAGCAAACAGAAGTAAAAGCTACCCTCACATCCCTGAACAACAGAATTAAAGAAGAGGTTAAAAAAAAGGGGGGAGATCTAAACAAATGAAGAAAAACCAAAAGAAGAATATGGGTCTCACACAAACCCCTGGGAGGTCAGACACTGAGAATACATACTTCAGAACTCAGACAATGAAGAGCCCCCAGAATGACTGGTCTGAAACCACAAATCCAGATACCAAGACATTAATAGAGACAATAAATAGAATTGAGGAGAGACAAGAGGAAAGAATGAAGGAGTTGATAATTGAGACAACAGCAATAAAGAATGCAGTGAATGAAATAAATAACAAACCGATAAGCATGGAAAGCAGTATTAGCCAAGCAGAAGAAAGAATCTCAGAGCTTGAGGACTAAAATATGGAACTAACCCAAACTGTCAAAAACATAGAAAAGAAAATTAAAAAGAACAAAACTTTCAAGAGATGAGGGATTATTTCAAGAGGACAAACCTAAGAGTAATTGGAATTCCTGAGGCAGAGAGACAGAGACCACCCTGGAACAACCATTCATGAAATTATCCAAGAAAACTTCCCCCATCTCATCAGTGATGCAACATTTCAAACACAAGAGATTCAGAGAACCCCTGTGAGACAACAAATAAGATCAACTCCTTTCACATAGTAATTTGCCTACACAAAGTAGGTATAAAAGAAAAAACCCAAAAGGCAGCAAAAGAAAAAAGTCAGACTACCTATAGAGGAAGACCAATTAGAATAGCAGCAGACTTATCTACAGAAACACTTCAGGCTAGGAGAGCTTGGGAGTCCAATCATCAAAGTTCTCAAAGACAAACAATTTCAACCAAGAATTAGCTACTCACCTACGCTAAGCTTCATCAGTGATGGAGAATTAAAATTTTTTCTGAGACATTCAATCCCTAAGAGCTTATGCTGCCTCCAGACCAGCTCTACAAGAAATACTTAGGAAAGTATTAAACACAGAAGAAAGAAAAGAAAGAATGACAATGTCCTTCACAAGAATGCAGGAAAAAGATTGAAAGCACACATGAATCAACCCCAAAATCAAAAGAAAGACAATGAACAAATAAACAAACAGCAGCAACAATAACAAACTCTATAAAACTTCATGAAAGGGATAAACTCTCACATCTCAATAATTAGCCTGAATGTGAATGGACTAAATGCATCTCTGTAAAGACATAGAATAGCAAAATAGATAAAATATCATGAGGCAACAATATATTGTCTCCAAGAGACTCATCTCACCAGAAAGGACATTCACAGACTCAAAGTAAGAGAATGGGAAACAAAATTTCAGGTGAATGGAACACAAAAGAAAGCAGGAGTCGTGATCTTAATATCAGACAAAATACCCTTCAAGTTATCAAAAATTAAAAAAGATATAGAAGTTCATTACATAATGATAAAAGGTTCAATCCATCAACAAGAAATACCCATCCTAAACATATTTGCACCCAACATGGGAGTCTAACTTTCATAAAGCAGCTTCTAGGTAAACTTAAAAAACATATTGACTCTACCGCTATCATAGCTGGGGACTTAAATACTCCACTCTCGACCCTAGACACATCATCAAGACAAAAATCAACAAGGAGATCCAGAACCTCAATGTGACACTTGACCAACTGTACTTGGTTGATACCTATAGAACACTCCACCCAACAATCACAGAATATACATTCTACTTATCACCACATGGAATGTACTCTGATCGACCACATCCTCGGCCATAAACCAAGCATAAACAAATTCCGTAAGACTGAAATAATGCCATGCACTTTCTCAGACCACAGTGGTATAAAAATAAATATCAACCCTGACAAAGTTCCCCCAAAACCCACAAAGACATAGACATCGAACACCATGATGCTAAACAACTCCTGGGTCAACATGAAAATCAAAGCAGAGATTAAAAGATTCCTGGAAGCTGGGCTCGGTGGCTCAGCCTATAATCCCGCACCTTTGGGAGGCTGAGGTGAATCACCTGAGCCCATGGGTTCGAGACCCACCTGGGCAGGCGAGACCTCATCTCTACAATAAATCAAAAAAATTAGCTGGGTGTGGTAGCGTGCGCCTGTAGTTCCAGCTACTTGGAAGGCTGAGACGGAAGGATCTCCGGAGCCCAGCAGGTAGAGGCTGCGGTGGCCGGGAGCGGCCACTGCACTCCAGTCTGGGCGACAGTGTGACTCCAACTCAAAAAAAAAAGATTCCTGGAAACAAATGAAAATGAAGAAACATCTTACCAAAGCCTCTGGGATGCCATAGAAGGCAGTACTAAGAGGGAAATTCGTAGCTCTATGAACACACATCAAGAAAATGGAAAGATCACAACTTAACAGCCTAACAAATCACCTAAGGAAGCTAGAGAACAAGACCACCAAAACCCTAATTTCAGCAGAAGAACAGAGATCACTAAAATAAAAGCCCAAATTCAGGACATAGAAGACAAAAAGATAACACCAAAAAAAATCAACGATAATACAAAAGATAGTATAAAATATAATAAAGAGAGAGAATACAAAAAAGATAATACAAAAAAAAACCAAAATGCTGACTCTCTGAAAGGATAAACAAGATTGATGGACCCCCTAGCTAGACTGAACAAGAAAAAGCCTAAATAAACACAATCAGTAATACAAAAGATCAAGTCACTATTGAACCCGTAGAAATACAAAAGATTATCAAAGACTACTATGTACACTTGTATGAAAACAGATTTGAAAACCTAAAGGAAATAGAGGACTTTCTGACATCACACAGCATCCCCAGGTTCAAACAAGAAGAAACCAAGAACCTAAACAGACTAATAACAATCTAGGAAATTGACATAATAAAACTACCTACAAAATGGCTTTCCAGCAGAATGACTTTCCAACAGAATTCTACAAAACATACAAGGAGGAGCTGATACCAATCCTATTGAAAGTATTCCAGGCAATTGAGAAAGATGGAACTCTCCCCAAATCATTTTATGAAGCTAACATCACATTGATACCCACACTGGGTAAAGATTCAACAAAGAAAGAGAACTAAAGGCCAACATCCTTGATGAACATAGATGGTAAAATTTTCAACAAGATCCTAGCAAAATGGATCCAACAACACATTTCAAAAACCATCCACCATGACCACGTAGGTTTCATCCCTGGGATGCAGGGCTGGTTCAACATTTGTAAGACCATAAGCGCAATTAAATACATCAACAAATGTAAAAACAAAAACCACATGACTATATCATTAGATGCAGAAAAAGCTTTTGATAAAATCCAGCACCTATTCTTGATAAAATCCCCTGAACATCTAGACATAGATGGAACATACCTCAAAATAGTAAGACCCATCTATGAGAAACCCACATCCAGCATACTACTAAACAGACAGAAATTGGAACCATTTCCCTTGAAAACTGGAACAAGACAAGATGCCCACTCTCACCCCTCTTTTTCAACATAGTTTTGAGAACCTGTCAAAAACCTCCTTGCAGTCATAAAGGACTTTGGTACAGTCTCAGCTTATAAAGTAAATGTGCAGGCCAGGCTCGGTGGCTCAGCATGTAATCAGCACTTTGGGAGCCCGAGGCATGTGGACTGTCTGAACCCGAGAGTTTGAGACCAGCCCGGGCAACTTGGTGAGATTGTGTCTCTACAATAAATAAAAAATTAGCTGGGTGTGGTAGCACATGCCTATAGTTCTACTACTTGGAAGGCTGAGGCAGGAGGATAGCCTGAGCCCAGCATTTTGATGCTGGGGTGGCCATGAGCATGCCACTGCACTCCAGCCTGGGCGACAGAGTGAGACTCCAACACAAAATAAATAAGTACATAAACAAGCAAGCAAAACATAGTTGCATTTCTATACACCAACAATAAACAAATTGAGACCCATATAAAAAGTACAATCCTATTCACAATAGCCACCCACACACAAAAAAAGTACCTTGGCATCTTCCTAACCAGAGACGTGAAAGATCGTTACAATTAAAAGTATACAACACTACTCAAAGAAATCAAAGATGACACAAACAAATGGAAAAATATTCCATGCGCATGGATTGGAAGAATCAACATTGTTATGATGTCCATCCTACCCACGGCTATCTACAGATTTAACACAATACATTAAATTACCAGCAGCATTCTTCTCAGACCTGGAAACAATACAGGAATTCATATGGAAACAAAAACGACCACAGATAGCCAAAACAATCCTCAGCAAAAAACAAAAACAAACAAAAAACAAAGCAGGAGGTATCATGCTCCCAGACTTTAGACTTTATTATAAAGTTACAATAATCAAAATATCCTGGTATTGGTACAAGAATGAAACAGCAGAGAGATTCCAGAAGCAAAACCTCCATTTCTCAACCAACTCATCTTTGACAAAGCCTCTAACAACAACTACTGGGGAGAGGAGAACCTATTCAGTAAATGGTACTGGAAAAGCTGGCTGACCACATGCAGAAGATTAAAAAAAGACCCCTACCTATCACCATACACAAAAATCAACTCTAAATGGATCAAAGACCTAAATGTAAAACCTCAAACTATAAGAACCTTAGAAAACACAGGACACACCCTTTTGGAAATTGGAACTGGCAACCAATTTCTGATCAAAACCCCAAGTGCCCATGACGTATGAGATAAGATAGACAAGTGGGATCTCATCAAACTGACAAGCTTCTGCAAAGTTAAAACAACCATCGAGAGAGCAGGGAGACAGTCCACAGATTGGGAAAAAATTATTTGCCTATTGTATGCCTGACAAAGGCCTAACTTCTAGGATCTACAAGGAACTTAAATGTGCCAAAAAGAAAAAAACAAACAGCCCCATTACAAAGTAGGCAAAAGATACAAATAGTCACTTCTCAAAAGGAGACATACAAGCAGCCAACAGATATATGAAAAAATGCCCAGCTTCACTAGTCATCAAAGAAATGCAAATTAAAATTATTCTGAGATAACACCTAACTCCATCATCAACAACCCCCAAAACAACAGATGCTGGAAAGGTTGCGGAGAAAAGGAAACACTTCTACACTGTTGGTGGGAGTGCAAACTAGTACAGCTTCTGTGGAAAACAGTGTGGCGATTCCTAAAAAAATCTAAAAATTGACCTTCCATGTGACCCCACAACACCCCTACAGGGAATATATCCAGAGGAACTCAAATTACTCTGTGAAAAAGATACCTGCTGTAATCACAGCACTTTGGGGGGCTGAGGAGAGAGGACTGCCTGAGCCAACGGGTTCAAGACCAGTCTGGGCAACGTGGTGAGACCCTGTCTTTACAATAAATAAAAAAATTATCTGGGCGTGACAGCATGAGCCTGTAATTCCGGTTACTTGGAAGGCTAAGGTGGAAGGATAGCCGGAGCCCAGTGGGACGACACTGTAGGCATGCCACTGCACTCCAGCCTGGGTGATGGAGTGAGACTCCAACTCCAAAAACAAAAGAAAAAGATACATGCACACCTATGTTTATTGCAGCATTGTTCACAATAGCAAGAACATGGAACCAACCATACTGCCTATCAAAAGAGGACTGGATTTTTAAAAAATGTGGTACGTATACACGATGGAATATTATGTAGCCATAAAGGACAAAATCATGAACTTCACAGCAACCTGGATAGACTGAGTCTATAATACTAAGCAATCTATCACAGAAACAAAGAACTGAATATCACATGTTCTCACTCATAAGTGGACCTTGAACACTTATCAAATACTTTATGAAAAGGAAAGAAAAGGATTGGCAATAGCAGTAAGCTGCTGGGGGAGGGGAGGGCATACCTCATCAATAAGGATACCTGCTTAATGAATATTTATATACCTAACCCCGAATTGTACCCTACATCTTTGAAATACAAAAGTTAAAAGAAAATACTTAGACTGGATGAACTGATAAAAACATAACCCAACTATATGATGCCTTCAAGAAATTTACCTCACTAGAAAGACACATATAGCCTGAAAGTGAAGGAAAGGAAAAAGATATTCCATCCAAATGGAAACCAAAAGCAAGCAGGAATAGCTATACTTATATCAATAAAACAGACTTTAAATCAAAAACAGTAAAAGAGACAAATCATGAGATAATGTAAAGTGATGAAAAACAAAACAAAACAAAAACTAGGACTGGGCACAGTGGCTCAGGTCTGTAATCCCAGCACTCTGGGAGGCCGAGGTGAGAGGACTGCCTGAGTCCGGGCAATCCTTCGAGACCAGCCTGGACAACCTGGTGAGACCTCGTCTCTACAATAAAAGATAAAAAATAAAAATTAGCCGGGCATGGTGGTGCATGCCTGTAGTTCCAGCTACTTGGAAGGCTGAGGTGGAAGGATCATCTGAGCCCAGCAGGTCGAGGCTGCAGTGGCTGTGAGCATGCCACTGCACTCCAGCCTGGGTGTGTGAGACTATGACTCAAACAAAACAATACAAAAACCAAACAAAAATCACAAACTCCTAACATTTATTCTTAACAATAAGGGCTCACGGCCAGCCCTGTGAAGGGCAGTGGTGTAGTCAGAGGACGTGCCAAGCATCCCGGTCATATCTTCACGTCCAAAAACACTGGCTTCAAAGGCTCACTTCACCCAGACAAGGAGGGTTTTAGAGTTCATATACCAGAATGGGTACAAAAGAGGCTTTGTTTTTTCCCTAAGCAACAATTTTAAACTCCAAATGAATACTATCCTCAAATACTTCTGTTGCTCGAATATCTGAACTCCTTTCAGGACCTCCCCCTCCAGATCTGATTTTAAGACATATAAGAAAAGCAGTTTCATTTACTTTGTAGGGAGTTCTTATTTCTAAGAAAGTACATAATCTGGTTGTATCTTCCTTTTTACATGCCACACTAGTCTGAGGATTCTGGTTGCTATTAAACATTAAACCATGTTCTAGGGAGAGTGGTCACCACTGATAAGGCTTAAAGGACCATACACAGGAAGTTCTAAGAGCAACTCCAAGAGGGACTGCAGCTGAGCCCGTCCCCAGAGCCTGCCGGACAGGAGGGGCAGTAGTCTCTGGACCATGTATTTTGGTATGTTTAAAACAACATTCCCCCTTATGTCCATATTATTCTATATTTTATTCTTGAGTCAGAGTCTCACTTCATTGCCAAGGCTGGAGTACAGTGGCACGCTGGCTCACGGCCACCACAGCCTCAACCTGCTGGGTTCACGCCATCTTTCTACCTCAGTCTTTCAAGTAGCTGGAACTACAGGCTACCATGCCTAGCTAATCATTTGATTTATTGTAGAGACAAGGTCTCACCATGTTGCCCAGACTAGTTTTGAACCCACGGGCTCAGGCAATCCTCTCACCTTCACCTTGCAAAGTGCTGGGTTTACAGGAGTGAGCCAATGCACCCGGCATGTCCATGGATTTATTGTAGAGACAAGGTCTCACCATGTTGCCCAGACTGGTTTTGAACCCATGGGCTCAGGCAATCCTCTCACCTTCACCTTGCAAAGTGCTGGGTTTACAGGTGTGAGCCAATGCACCCGGCATGTCCATGGATTTATTGTAGAGACAAGGTCTCGCCATGTTGCCCAGACTGGTTTTGAACCCATGGGCTCAGGCAATCCTCTCACCTTCACCTTGCAAAGTTTGGGTTTACAGGTGTGAGCCAATGCACCCGGCATGTCCATGTTTTTTAATAATTAAATGCGTTGTATGTCCCATTTTCAAAATCTTTTGAGTATTCTGTGGATTCCCTTGTATTTATAAATCTATTACAGGAGATTCCTGTGAACAACTGTATGCATAAAGTGACAGAACTGAGGGGGATGGGCAGACACAAACCCTGGTCATGATGTAGTTGTGCAAGCTGTTCACAAAATGCATGAGCTTCACTCTCAAGAGGAACATACGATGGATCTGCTGTCTCACTGGTTCCTTCTGTGGTTCAAACTGAGCAACTGTGCCTTGTTCATGCAGGAGGCCTTCTTTAGACTGAGGTTTTCCAGCAGTACTAACCAGCTCTATGAAAGAGTAAAAAAGCAAAGTGGGTGGAAAGAGAATCGACTCAAACCCCACTGAACTGTGCCATACACTGGGAGCTCTGAGGACGCGGCATCAGTGTTGCCAAGAGCACCCTAAAAGAGGCTTGGCAGGGATTGAACTTGGGTGCCTCGGAAGGTGAAGCGTCAAAAGTCCCCCTTTTACTTCTGTTATCACTTTCATGAAATGCGTCAAAGTTCCATTAACTTGTCATTAACAATTTTTGCATAACCTAAGAAGACTATTCTGGCTGTATTTCTCATCAAGTTGTTGCATATCAGATCAACTGTATGTAAAACTTCCTGATCGTTCATTCAGATATTTGATGTCTATAAAACTTGCTGTAACACATGTCATTCTGGCATTTGTGTACACATAAAAACTGATCAAAGACTACCAAACTTTATCAGGGTTAAAATTAAATTGCACTTTATCTGCTGAGAATAAATCTTACCACCAAACAGTAAAACATCCAGACTATATTTTGCCCACTTTATTTGCAGTAAGAGAAGGAACACTTGATTATAAATTTTTTGACATTCCAAACTTATAACTATATCTACAGGCCATGGGACCTGTGAAAACAAAAAGAGAAAATTAGAATAGAAAGTAACCAGTTACTTGCATGTTTTAATTTAAACAAAAGCTGGGCTTGGTGGCTCAGCCTATAATCCGCGCCTTGGGAGGCTGAGGTGAGTGGATTGCCTGAGCCTGCGGGTTTGAGACCC